TATAAAATAGAAAAAAATACGTGATAAAATTAAAACTTCAAATAAATAAATACATACAATTCTAGAACAAAATATTAAAAACGTAAATTTTCTAGATCGAAATTATTAAGCAAAAGTTAACAATTAGAAAGATCAAAAAACACGAGCAACGTTTAGTGGATCTTTAAAAATAAATTAGTTTATTTTTAAAGATTCAATAAATATTGCTTGTGTTTTTAGATCTTTCTAATTATTAATTTTTACAGAATAAAATATTATCAATAAGATAATATTTTATTTTGAATATTAGATTATTACTTTAATTTTGTACTCATAATTAATTTTATTAATCATCTTAAATTTCATTAGTCAACTTAAGCAAAATGGAAGATTGAGTTCTTATAAATTTATTATTCAATATTGTGCGAGTGGGAATTTTATCTTGAGGAAAATATAAAGAATATTCAACGAAAAACACAATTCTAAGAAAATACAGGAGAAGTTGAGGAACGAAGTGAATAGGTCACCAAATTTAGATATGATTATTGTAAATATCCAAAGAAAATTATGGCGCATTCATATACTTGTTCGAACATATTAAGAAAATTACGCTGAAGAAATTCATGCTTTCTATTGAACTCTATAGCAACAAGAAAATTTTGTAATTAACGAATAACAGTTTGAACTTAATATGATAAATCCAAAAAATTACTAAAAAAATAAAAATTGTAATAAAAATTCACACAACGGAAAATTTCAAGCTAAATTATACATTATAATTATATATGTAAAATATATATATAATATTATACATTATATATATAATATTATACATATCGTCGTTCTATTGCCTAATCATTAGGCAAAACTACAAGATGTTAAAAAAGTACACAATATGTTGGATCTTAAAATCTTTTGAAATCATTGTCTATACATAGGTTCTAATGTATAAACAATATGATTTGAAAAGATTTCAAGATCCAACATATTATATACTTTTTTAACATCTTGCTTATAGAACAGACAAAACTCTAATTATATATTTTGAAAAAAATGTAACAACTTGATATAACAAATTATAATCCTTAATCCTAATGACAGAAAAATCCACGATAGTAATATTTGTTTGATTATTAACATTCAAAATATCAACATCAATTTTACACATATAATTTATATCTTCTTTTTATTAATTTATTAATTTATTTTACGTTCCAATATTCTATATAAGGCACAATCACAAATTATTATATAATAAATAAAGATCATGTTATAAAATAATAAACAAAGAAATTTTGCAAATACCATAAAAATGTCTCTTAATCCTCAGTACCCACATCTCAAAAGAACCCCTATCTACTCATCCAGGTATTTGTAATCCAGGCATTTCCTTTTTCTTATATTATATCTCAGATTATAGTACATTGATTTTAATTAATTTTTTTTTAATCTATCGTTTGAAGACTGAAAAACAAAAATGTTCTAGTTCGAAAGTCTAAAATGTCATAGCAAAAGATATTTTGCAATAAGTGAAAAGTGGATCGAAAAAAAACGTTTAAATGAAAAAAATATGAAAATCGGGAGGATTACGCTAACCTTCTGTGGGTACTGAGGGTTAGCGTAACCTCCCAAAAATTTAGGTTAATTAAGCTAACTTGTAATTTGATAACTAAACTAATAATTAATTGTATAAGACTTGATTTCACTAAAATACAATTCAATATAAAAGATGTTTTTTTAAAAGTTAGTACTTAAAGTACTTTTGTAAATCTAATTTTAATTATTGTCCTTGTAGCCAGACATTATCTTCGATCCACGGAAGATAATGAGACATTCTAGCATAAACAATGGGGATTTGTTATAGTGCACAGCCTTTATTAAAGCTGAATACCGATTACTTGGAAGAGACATTCGCTCTCAGGATAAACTTGCAGAGGACCACCAGAATCTTCTTGGCATGAATTTCTGGTTCACTTGTAACGAGGATCGCCAGTATAGATCATACTTATGATACTATATGGAAGTATGTTTTTAGAATCGTTGTATTGTATATTGCACAAATTATCTACTACATCCAATTGAGCTTTTAATACTCGGTCGCTTATCGCTTCTAAAGCATATAATTTAATTTGAATCTGTATTTTTACCTGATAAAAATGTTTAATAGTCATAATAAAGAGCTCCTATTAAAAATCCCATAGTAGATTCTTACATGTAGACGTCTAGAATTTCAAATTCATTTTACGACTATTTCTTCAAATTCTACGATTGCGCAATAAAATTTTCGAACAAGAAATTATCGGATTACTTACTATCAAAACTAATGGTTCCTCAGCCAGTAATCCAAGCCTTTCGAGACACAGTATCACATTACTGATAAAGACACGTGGGTCGTATAAAAGTGTTAAATGTGTTAAATGTAACAGGTTTCATGAGCTATTCTATTAGAGCTTATGTCTGCATCACGAGTTTATAATCTGGATGTCTTATCACATATTTGAAGATAATGATGACGCCTTTCTGGTCCGTCAATCTATTGATACCTATTTTTTATTTGCCACTACAAAAATACACTGTATAGAACTAAATTTGTTAATCAAGTCCTTAAACAATTGTAAGATTAATATTATAAATTTTTTTTAGATCTGCAATTAATAGGTTTATAATATAAAAAATTAATAACTCTCTTAAAATTCTATACTTTCTTATTCGAGATCTATAAAACACTATAGAATTAATCTTAAAAAATATTTTCGAATTTCGTGATTTTTATCTAATCTATTGGTGCATTTAATAGAATCATTAACAGCTAAGAAACATAAAAAATGATTTTTTTTTATTAGAATTTATAAAATAAAGTGAAAAAAATAACAATTTACTGTATCTTGTGTGTGCAATGCGCAGCAGAAAGCACCAGGCGTGCATATCAAGACAAACTCGTCGGAGCGTTTACCCACAGTGACCATGTGAGAAAATTCGCTTTCTTGCGTCTCAATACTATCAAGTACCAAGGGATACCTCTCTGCAGATACCTCACACATATTCGACAAATCACGATTATCGAAGTCATACTCATAATTTCTCTTACATGTTCCTCATACTCTGAAATTTATTTTGATTATTATATAAAGATCTGTAGAATATATGAAGAAAATTGAATCACTATGCTAACATCTAAGTGTCTGATCAG